CCCCAACGTCCTTCTTCTCTGTTCCATGGACGTTCTTCCAGACGCACCCCAATTTGCAGCGCCCGCCGGACAACCTCCTGAGTGCTCTTTGGTCTCTCCCCCCTTGCAATCTCATCTTTCACATTTGCATTCAAGCCTTCCCAAAAAGGTCTCTGGCTGGGGCAGAATCCTTCTCCCATCCCAGCGCATGGACTAATGCAAAAAGCGGGAATGGTACTGCCTTACACTGGCTCTGCCTTGTTTGAGCCCATGTATGTCTTTTCTGGCGATATCAATGTCTATATTTGATAAAAACACGAATCCATCGCTTTAATGAATGCATCCGCATTTTGGAGCGCCGGATCCTTATCTCTCCACAGATTGCGCAGCCACGCTTTAGCTTCCCCATGCAAATGGGACAAGATAAACCCCACCTTCTCTTGCTCATCTCTAAAGTCTTTATCCAGCAGTTCCAGCGCAAACAGCACGTCTGCTCGGAAGTTAGGGTACTGCTGCAAATTCCCATCGAAATGAGATACCAGGCTGCCTCCTCTTTTCCCCAGCCCAATCCCCTCTGATTTGGGTCCCGGTTGCCCCTGCTTAGCAAGCACTTCCAACCTGGCTTGGAGATCCCTGCAGGCGGCAGCCGCTTCCTCTTCCCTTTTCCTGGATGCGAGTACCTCCGCGTTGAGTTGTGTCACTGCATTTTGCAGGGCTGCTAGTTGCTGTTCTGTAGTCATCTTGCCTGACTTTTGTGAGCTCGCGAAGCACCAATCTTCTTCCCTCGCTGCGTCCACTCACGTTACGAGGTTTTTGGTGCAAAACTTTAGGAGATGGAGCTTACTGTCAGAGCTGGCTCCAGGTCCCAGCTCACAGAGGACCAACGCTAGCCGGCAGTAATGTACAAAAGTCTTTATTGAAGTACAGTTTCCATTTTCAAGCCGGAGCGCCCCAGCTCTACGTCTAGGGGTTAGATCGGCGAAGCTCCATCTGAGTCTCCGCCCCTGTACACCAGTTTAAGATTCTAGCCTTACTCCACCTCTTACGTCTCTCCTTTCTCCTCTGGGTCCTGCTACCCCCCGGGGTCCCTTCCTTCCTGGATTCTTCTGGCGCTGACCCCCTGACTCCTCCCCCTCTTTTCGGCGGGCTTTGGGACCTGGCTCCCTATCCGGGCTGCCAACTGCGCCGCCCTCCTGTACATTTGAACTTGGCGCGCGCGCCCAGCCTTCAACCTTCCTCTCGACCGTTTCCTCGCTCCCCGATGGAGGCGTGGCCAATCCTGACTCATGTCCTCCCACTGGCAGTGCGCCGCCTGATCCCGATGCCTGGGACTCCTCCCCCTACTGCACTCTGGTGTGGACGCTGGTCCTGATTTCCAACTGCTGCTCTCTGAGTCCCCTCTGGCCCCTTCTTCCTGGGGTGTCCCCCTCGGCACCCCCCTTGCTCTGACCAAGGGGCCCCTTTCTGTGAATCTTCCGATTCGCTGGAAAGACTCAGAGACCTCGGACCGCTGTCATCGCTAACATTTCCTTCGGACTCCTCCCCCTCGCTCTCTATTTCCTCCCTTTCCTGTGCCTCTGCTCCTGAACCCCTGACAGTGTGGAATGAGACCAAAATAAAAACACCGTCTCTCCGCTTCCATATGCGTAGAAAGACGACGAATAAGCTTTGATTGGGCTTATTTAAAATCGCATGATGTTATTTGGGTGTGCACCAGAATCACCCGAAACAAAACCAAAAAGTTGTTTTGGGTTCCATCTACATAAAAAGAAGATAATTAAGCTCTGATTGGGCTTATTTCAAATTGGTGTTTTTGGAGTTAGAATGCACCCAAAAATCGTAGAGTGACATGTTTATTAGCAGCCGAAATCAAGCATAGGTGTTTTGGTTCCATCTCAATAGAAAGAGGACGAATAAGCTTGGATTGCTCTTTGGGTGTTCATTCACCCACAAATATCAAAGGGATGTGTAATAAGCCTAAACAAAGCCAAACAGGTTGTTTTGGCTTGCAGCAACATAGAAAGAAGAATCTTGGATTTTGCTTATTTCGTGTTTGTCAGGGGTTCAGGAGCAGAGGCACAGGAAAGGGAGGAAATAGAGAGCGAGGGGGAGGAGTCCGAAGGAAATGTTAGCGATGACAGCGGTCCGAGGTCTCTGAGTCTTTCCAGCGAATCGGAAGATTCACAGAAAGGGCTCCCTTGGTCAGAGCAAGGGGGTGCCGAGGGACACCCCAGGAAGAAGGGGCCAGAGGGGACTCAGAGGCAGCAGTTGGAAATCAGGACCAGCGTCCACACCAGAGTGCAGTAGGGGAGGAGTCCCAGGCATCGGGATCAGGCGGCGCACTGCCAGTGGGAGGACATGAGTCAGGATTGGCCACGCCTCCATCGGGGAGCGAGAAGCGGTCGAGAGGAAGGTTGAAGGCTGGGCGCGCGCCAGGTTCAAATGTACAGGACGGCGGCGCAGTTGGCAGCCCGGATAGGGAGCCAGGTCCCAACGCCCGCCGACCCGAGGCGGAGCAGCCAGGCGGGACAGCGTCAGAAGAATCCAGGAAGGAAGGGACCCCGGGGGGTAGCAGGACCCAGAGGAGAAAGGAGAGACGTAAGAGGTGGAGTAAGGCTAGAATCTTAAACTGGTGTACAGGGGCGGAGACTCAGATGGAGCTTCGCCGATCTAACCCCTAGACGTAGAGCTGGGGCGCTGCGGCTTGAAAATGGAAACTGTACTTCAATAAAGACTTTTGCACATTACTGCCGGCTAGCGTTGGTCCTCTGTGAGCTGGGACCTGGAGCCAGCTCTGACAGTGTTCTTTGGTGTTAATGCACATTGACCCAGAAATCGAAAAATGTGTGGAATGAGACCAAGATAACACAACACCGTCTTTTCGCTTCCATATACGTAGAAAGACGACGAATAAGCTTTGATTGGGCTTATTTCATTTCGCATGATGTTTTTTGGGTGTGCACCAGAATAACCCCCAACCAAAGCAAAAAGGTGTTTTGGGTTCCATCTACATAAAAGAAGATAATTAAGCTCTGATTGGGCTTATTTCAAATTGGTGTTTTTGGGGTTAGAATGCACATTCACCCAAAAATCGTAGAGTGACATGTTTATTAGCAGCCCAAATCAGGCATAGGTGTTTTTGTTCCATCTCAATAGAAAGAGGACGATTAAGCTTGGATTGCTCTTTGGGTGTTCATTCACCCACAAATAGCAAAGGGATGTGTAATAAGCCTAAACAAAGCCAAAGAGGTTGTTTTGGGTTCCAGCTACATAGACAGAATAATCTTGGATTGCGCTTATTTCAAGTTTTGGTTTTTGGTGTTAATGCATATTGACCCAGAAATCGCAAAATGTGTGGAATGAGACCAAAATAACACAACACCATCTTTTCGCTTTCATATGCGTAGAAAGACGACGAATAAGCTTTGATTGGGCTTATTTCAATTCGCATGGTGTTTTTTTGGGTGTGCACCAGAATAACCCCAAACAAAACCAAAAAGTTGTTTTGGGTTCCATCTACATAAAATGGAGATAAGCTCTGATTGGGCTTATTTGAAATTGGTGTTTTTGGGGGTAGAATGCACATTCACCCAAAAATCGTAAAGTGACATGTTTATTAGCAGCCCAAATCAAGCATAGGTGTTTTGGTTCCATCTCAATAGAAAAAGGACGAATAAGCTTGGATTGCCCCTTCGGTGTTCATTCACCCACCAATAGCAATGCGAAGTGTAATAAGCCTAAACAAAGCCAAACAGGTTGTTTTGGGTTCCAGCAACATAGAAAGAAGAATCTTGGATTTTGCTTATTTCGTGTTCTTTGGTGTTAATGCACATTGACCCAGAAATCGAGAAGTGCGTGGAATGAGACCAAAATAACACAACACCATCTTTTCGCTTCCATATGCATAGAAAGACGACAAATAAGCTTTGATTGGGCTTATTTCAATTCGCATGATGTTTTTTGGGTGTGCACCAGAATCACCCCCAACCACCACAAAAAGGTGTTTTGGGTTCCATCTACATAAAAGAAGATAATTAAGCTCTGATTGGGCTTATTTCAAATTGGTGTTTTTGGGGTTAGAATGCACATTCACCCAAAATCGTAGAGTGACATGTTTATTAGCAGCCGAAATCAAGCATAGGTGTTTTGGTTCCATCTCAATAGAAAGAGGACGAATAAGCTTGGATTGCTCTTTGGGTGTTCATTCACCCACAAATATCAAAGGGATGTGTAATAAGCCTAAACAAATCCAAACAGCTTGTTTTGGCTTGCAGCAACATAGAAAGAACAATCTTGGATTTTGCCTATTTCGTGTTCTTTGGTGTTAATGCACATTGACCCAGAAATCGAAAAATGTGTGGAATGAGACCAAAATAAGACAACACCATCTTTTCGCTTTCATATGTGTAGAAAGACGACGAATAAGCTTTGATTGGGCTTATTTCAGTTCGCATGGTGTTTTTTTGGGTGTGCACCAGAATACACCCCAAACAAAACCAAAAAGTTGTTTTGGGTTCCATCTATATAAAAATGGAGTTGAAGCTCTGATTGGGCTTATTTGAAATTGGTGTTTTTGGGGGTAGAATGCACATTCACCCAAAAATCGTAAAGTGACATGTTTATTAGCAGCCCAAATCAAGCATAGGTGTTTTGGTTCCATCTCAATAGAAAGAGGACGAATACGCTTGTATTGCTCTTTCGGTGTTCATTCACCCACAAATAGCAAAGCTATGTGTAATAAGCCTAAACAAAGCCAAACAGGTTATTTTGTGTTCCAGCTAACTATAAAGAAGAATCTTGGATTGCACTTATTTCAAGTTTTGGTTTTTGGTGTTAATGCATATTGACCCAGAAATCGCAAAGTGTGTGGAACGAGACCAAAATAACACAACTCCGTCTTTCCGCTTCCATATGCGTAGAAAGACGACGTATAAGCTATGATTGCGTTTATTTCAATTCGCATGGTGTTTTTTGGGTGTGCACCAGAATCACCCCCAACCAAAGCAAAAAGGTATTTTGGGTTCTGTCAGAGCTGGCTCCAGGTCCCAGCTCACAGAGGACCAACGCTAGCCGGCAGTAATGTACAAAAGTCTTTATTGAAGTACAGTTTCCATTTTCAAGCCGGAGCGCCCCAGCTCTACGTCTAGGGGTTAGATCGGCGAAGCTCCATCTGAGTCTCCGCCCCCTGTACACCAGTTTAAGATTCTAGCCTTACTCCACCTCTTACGTCTCTCCTTTCTCCTCTGGGTCCTGCTACCCCCCCGGGGTCCCTTCCTTCCTGGATTCTTCTGACGCTGACCCGCCTGACTCCTCCCCCTCTTTTCGGCGGGCTTTGGGACCTGGCTCCCTATCCGGGCTGCCAACTGCGCCGCCCTCCTGTACATTTGAACTTGGCGCGCGCGCCCAGCCTTCAACCTTCCTCTCGACCGTTTCCTCGCTCCCCGATGGAGGCGTGGCCAATCCTGACTCATGTCCTCCCACTGGCAGTGCGCCGCCTGATCCCGATGCCTGGGACTCCTCCCCCCTACTGCACTCTGGTGTGGACGCTGGTCCTGATTTCCAACTGCTGCTCTCTGAGTCCCCTCTGGCCCCTTCTTCCTGGGGTGTCCCCCTCGGCACCCCCTTGCTCTGACCAAGGGGCCCCTTTCTGTGAATCTTCCGATTCGCTGGAAAGACTCAGAGACCTCGGACCGCTGTCATCGCTAACATTTCCTTCGGACTCCTCCTCCTCGCTCTCTATTTCCTCCCTTTCCTGTGCCTCTGCTCCTGAACCCCTGACATCCATCCCCCCTCGAAGCCCCCCCTTACCCCCTCCCCTCCTTCAGGTGTGGGTACTGGGTGCTCCGTCGTTGTGGGGGTGAGTGCCGGATACAGTTCGTCCCCCGTGGCGTGCATCCAGCCGGATAAGTCCGGCTCGTCCTCCGTGCTCTCGCCGACCTCAATTTCCTCTGCTTCCATCTCTTTGCCGCCGTGCTCGAACCCAAGGTCCTCCCCCACCACGTCCATGTCCGTCTCTCCCCCGGTCTCCTCCGGGGACGTTGCCTGCCAAGGACCCCCCAACCACTTCCTGCGCCACTGCTCCTCTGGTTGAGTGTCCCACCAATAGGAACGGTCTGAGGCAGACCCCGAGGTGATCCCTCCGGGAACGTGCTTCTAGTGCCGGTTCCTCGTCCGAGGTGAACCCCTGGAATGTGCTAGCTGAAAATGTGGGTGTGAAAAGCCAGTCGTCGAAATACTCGGCTGGCATGGGCCTGTGTGGGAAAAGTGCATGGAACTCGTCCTTGAGCCAAGATTCCTCCAGAGCATAATCTGGCACCCAACTGTTGGCGCTAGCCGAGGTACCTTCCTTGGCGAGGAGGTATTCCACTCCCTCCTCGCCCATCTCGAGTCTAAAATCTCTGTGACTTCGTTGACGGGTTCCCGCCTTGGCGACCCCCCCCTTGTGGGCGTTTCCCTGAACGGGTCTGGTGCCGTTCCTGGCTCCTGAAATCTATGAGGTGCTTTGTAGGGCGTGAGCACTGATCTATGGAAAACTGGGTGCATTCTGGATCCCTCCGGCAGTGTCAACCGGAAGGCCACTGGATTGACCTGTGCCTCGACTTGGTAGGGTCCTAGCTGCTTATGCCCTAGCTTCTTCTTCGCTAACGATCTGGCCGGCACTGCCTGGGCTGCTAACCAAACCCAGTCTCCCACCTGTATGTCTTCCCCAACCCTTCTGTGCTTGTCAGCCTGCAGTTTGTATGCGTGCTTTGCTAGTTCTAACTGCCTCCGAAGCTGTTCGTGAACCTCCTGCAACTCTGATGCTAAGGCTTCCGCTGCCTGTGGCTCCCCCTCCCCCCTCTCTCGCTAATCCCGGGAAGGTTCTGGGATGCCTCCCGTTGTTGGCGAAGAACGGTGACACACCCGTGGACACGTGCTTCGTGTTGTTGTAGGCGAACTCAGCGAGCGGCAGGTAGTCCACCCATGTTGCCGGCTGCTGATTTGCGTAGCATCGCAGGTACTGCTGCATGATGGCGTTGACTCGCTCCGCTTGTCCGTTCGTCTGCGGGTGTCTCGCCGACGCTAGGTTGATCTTGACGTTCAGGAAACCCATCAGCTTCTGCCAGAAGTTCGAGATGAACTGTCGCCCCGGTCGGACAGGATGGGCCGTGGCAGACCGTGAACCCTGAACACGTGGTCTATGAACAGTTTGGCGGTCTGTTCCGCCGTGGCCACCTTCGCGCACGGAATGAAGTGGGCCATTTTGGTGAACATGTCCACCACCACTAGCACTGCCGTCTTGCCCCTCGAGCTGGGTAGATCCGTGACAAAGTCCAGGGCCACCCTCTCCCACGGTTCGAGCGGTGTCTGCAGCGGTTCGAGCAGTCCCGCCGGCGGTTTGTGCACTGACTTGGCCCTTTGGCAGGTGTCGCACCTCGAGGCGTAATCCGCGACTTCCCCCGCATCTTGGGCCACCAAAAATCTCTGGCTACTAATTCTACCGTCTTCTCTTTGCCAAAGTGCCCGGCGGTGGGTGCGTCGTGCAACTGCTGCAGTACTTTCGCGCGGAGGTCGTCTCCCGGTACGTAGAGGGCCCCTCTGCGGATGAGCAATCCGTCGCGTATCTGGAACTCGTCGTCCTCCGCCGTGCCCCTTTGCACCTCTGCCATCTTTGCTTGCGCGAAGGGGTCCTCCTGCAGTGCTCGTCGTACAGCATCCAGGTCCACGGTTGCTGAAGCGCACGCCCACGCTTTCGGTGCGAAAATGTGCTTGGCCGCTGCTGGTGCCGCCTCCTCGAGGTATTGCGGCTTTCTGGACAGTGCATCCGCCATGATGTTGTTGTCGCCTGGGATGTACTCTATCCTGAAGTCGAAATCCGCAAAGAACTCCGCCCATCGTATGTGCCTCTGGTTCAGGAACCTTGCCGTGCGCCAGTACTCCAGGTTTTATGGTCCGTGCGGACCTGCACTGTGTGTTTGGCTCCAATGAGGAAGTGCCGCCACGCCTTGAATGCTGCATGAATGGCCAGCAACTCCCTGTCCCAGATGGTGTAGTTCTGCTCTGACTTGCTGAGCTTCCTGGAGTAGAAGGCACACGGTCTCCAGTCCCCATGCGGGTCTTGCTGCAACAGTACTGCTCCCACGGCTCTGTCTGAGGCGTCCGTTTCAACCCTCATCGGTCTGCTGGGATTCACATGCAGTAGCTGCTCTTCGGACGAGAAGAGGCGGCTTGAGTTTCTGAAAGGACTGCTCCGCTTGCTCCGTCCAGATGAACTTCTTCTTCTTGGAGCTGAGCGTGTCGGTACTGGCCGCCGTCTGCATCGCGAACCCCTTGATGAACTTGCGGTAAAAGTTGGCGAAACCGACAAACCGCTGGACCTCCTTCCGATTGCGCGGGCTCTTCCAGTCCAACACTGAGCGAACCTTGGCGCTGTCCATGGCGAGCCCCTTGTCCGACAACTTGTAGCCCAGGAAATCTACCTCCTTCATGTCGAACTGGCACTTCTCCAGCTTGGCGTACAGCCTGTGCTCCTGCAGTCTCTGCAGAACTTCCTTGACGTCTCCCTCGTGGGTCTCCTCTGATTCTGAAAATATCAGGATGTCGTCCAGGAAGCAGACGCATTTCTTGTAGAGGAGACCCGCCAATACGTGATGCATGAAGGCTTGAAAACAGTGGGAGCCATTTTGTAATCCAAAGGGCATAACTCTGTATTCATAGGTGCCCAGGGCGTGAACATGGCAGTCTTCCATTCGTCGCCCTCCCGTATGCGAATCAGGTTGTACGCCCCTCGCAGATCCAACTTTGTGAAAACGCGTCCTTTCCTCACCGTTGCGAGCAGGTCATCTATCTTGGGCATGGGAAAGGCTGTGGGCTTGGTTTTCGAGTTCAAAATTCTATAGTCCACCACAAGCCTTTTTGGGGCGTGTCCTTCTTCTTCACAAAGAATACAGGACTGCCCCCCACTGCCTTCGACTCCCGGATGAAACCGCGCTTCAAGTTGAGGTCTATGAACTCCCTGAGTTCCTGCAGCTCGTCTTCAGACATGGAATACAGTTTCCCGGTTGGCAGCGTCGCCCCTGGCGGAGGTCAATCTTGCAGTCATAAGACCTGTGGGGAGGTAGCTTGTCCGCTTCCTTCTCGCAGAAAACCTCCAAAAACGCTGCGTACTTGAGTGGCACCGCTTGCAGCGTGCCTAATTGTAGCTGCGGGTCATCCTCTTCCCCTTCCGGGCTAGGCAGAATGCAATGTTCCGCACAGTATGAGGAGCCGAAGGTCAGTTGTCGCTGGTACCACGCCAATGCTGGGCTGTGCCTGTGCAGCCAACTCATGCCTAATACTATAGGCGTGTCCGACAGTTGGGTGACATTGAAGCTGATGACTTCTCGGTGATTCCCAATTTGCATCACCATCGGAGGCGTTTGCTGCACCACCTGCCCCCCCAGCAATTCCCTGCCATCCACCGTGACAACTTTCAGAGGCAGCGTGGCTGGCAGGAGTGCTATGTTGTGCTCTTGAAGGAAATCCAGTCCTATGAAGTCTGCGTTACTACCAGAGTCAATGGTAATCGGCACTTCCATAGTGAGTCCATTGGGTAGTTGGAGCGATGCTGTGAGCTGCACCACTGGTTTGGGCGGGAGGGGTCTGTGGGCTGCAAAATCTCTGGGGTCGGCTTCTTTGACGGCTCTGGTTGGTCGCCAGTGCCTCTTCCTCCAACCAGACTCTGTCGTTTCCCTGCTGTGGGTCTCTCTGCTGAGTTGCTTCTGTTACTGTTGCTGAGGCTGCAGTGTGCTTGTGGAGCCTCTGGGGACACTCTTTCGCCATGTGCTGAGCACTGTCGCAGATGTAGCACTTCCTGTTCCCTCTAGGAGGCTTCGCTTTGACTGCTCCCGGTGTTAAGGCTCTGGTTGTTGACTGAGCCCTGGCGCCTCCAATCTCCATCGGTTGCTCTCCCCCTCCTTGCGGAGGTGGGGATTGCACACGCGCTGCATCCGTGGGAAAGAGGGGAGGTGCTCTCACTGGCGTACGTCCCCAACGTCCTTCTTCTCTGTTCCATGGACGTTCTTCCAGACGCACCCCAATTTGCAGCGCCCGCCGGACAACCTCCTGAGTGCTCTTTGGTCTCTCCCCCCTTGCAATCTCATCTTTCACATTTGCATTCAAGCCTTCCCAAAAAAGGTCTCTGGCTGGGGCAGAATCCTTCTCCCATCCCAGCGCATGGACTAATGCAAAAAAGCGGGAATGGTACTGCCTTACACTGGCTCTGCCTTGTTTGAGCCCATGTATGTCTTTTCTGGCGATATCAATGTCTATATTTGATAAAAAACACGAATCCATCGCTTTAATGAATGCATCCGCATTTTGGAGCGCCGGATCCTTATCTCTCCACAGATTGCGCAGCCACGCTTTAGCTTCCCCATGCAAATGGGACAAGATAAACCCCACCTTTTCTTGCTCATCTCTAAAGTCTTTATCCAGCAGTTCCAGTGCAAACAGCACGTCTGCTCGGAAGTTAGGGTACTGCTGCAAATTCCCATCGAAATGAGATACCAGGCTGCCTCCTCTTTTCCCCAGCCCAATCCCCTCTGATTTGGGTCCCGGTTGCCCCTGCTTAGCAAGCACTTCCAACCTGGCTTGGAGATCCCTGCAGGCGGCAGCCGCTTCCTCTTCCCTTTTCCTGGATGCGAGTACCTCCGCGTTGAGTTGTGTCACTGCATTTTGCAGGGCTGCTAGTTGCTGTTCTGTAGTCATCTTGCCTGACTTTTGTGAGCTCGCGAAGCACCAATCTTCTTCCCTCGCTGCGTCCACTCACGTTACGAGGTCTTTGGTGCAAAACTTTTGGAGATGGAGCTTACTGTCAGAGCTGGCTCCAGGTCCCAGCTCACAGAGGACCAACGCTAGCCGGCAGTAATGTACAAAAGTCTTTATTGAAGTACAGTTTCCATTTTCAAGCCGGAGCGCCCCAGCTCTACGTCTAGGGGTTAGATCGGCGAAGCTCCATCTGAGTCTCCGCCCCTGTACACCAGTTTAAGATTCTAGCCTTACTCCACCTCTTACGTCTCTCCTTTCTCCTCTGGGTCCTGCTACCCCCCGGGGTCCCTTCCTTCCTGGATTCTTCTGACGCTGACCCCGCTGACTCCTCCCCCTCTTTTCGGCGGGCTTTGGGACCTGGCTCCCTATCCGGGCTGCCAACTGCGCCGCCCTCCTGTACATTTGAACTTGGCGCGCGCGCCCAGCCTTCAACCTTCCTCTCGACCGTTTCCTCGCTCCCCGATGGAGGCGTGGCCAATCCTGACTCATGTCCTCCCACTGGCAGTGCGCCGCCTGATCCCGATGCCTGGGACTCCTCCCCCCTACTGCACTCTGGTGTGGACGCTGGTCCTGATTTCCAACTGCTGCTCTCTGAGTCCCCTCTGGCCCCTTCTTCCTGGGGTGTCCCCCTCGGCACCCCCTTGCTCTGACCAAGGGAGCCCCTTTCTGTGAATCTTCCGATTCGCTGGAAAGACTCAGAGACCTCGGACCGCTGTCATCGCTAACATTTCCTTCGGACTCCTCCCCCTCGCTCTCTATTTCCTCCCTTTCCTGTGCCTCTGCTCCTGAACCCCTGACAGGTTCCATCTACATAAAAAGAAGATAATTAAGGCCCTCATTGGGCTTATTTCAAATTCGTGTTTTTGGTATTAGAATGCACATTCACCCAAAAATCGCAGAGTGACATGTTTGTTATCAGCCCAAATGAAGCATAGGTGTTTTGGTTCCATCTCAATAGAAAGAGGACGAATAAGCTTGGATTGTTTTTTCGTTGTTCATTTGCTCACAAATAGCAAAGCGAAGTGTAATAAGCCTAAACAAAGCCAAACAGGTAGTTTTGGGTTCCAGCTACATAGAAAGAAGAATCTTGGATTGGGCTTATTTCAATTCGCATGGTGTTTTTTGGGTGTGCACCAGAATGACCCAAAACAAAACCAAAAGTTCTTATGGCTTCCATCTACCTAATAAGAAGATAATTAAGCTCTGATTGGGCTCATTTCAAATTGGTGTTTTTGGGGTTAGAATGCACATTCAGACAAAAATCGTAAAGTGACATGTTTATTAGCAGCCCAAATCAAGCATAGGTGTTTTGCTTCCATCTCAATAGAAAGAGGACGAATAGGCTTGGATTCTTTTTTCGTTGTTCATTCGCCCACAAATAGCAAAGCGAAGTGTAATAAGCCTAAACAAAGCCAAACAGATTGTTTTGGGTTTCAGCTACATAGAAAGAAGGATCTTGGCTTTCGCTCATTTCAAGTCGTGTTATTTGGTGTTAATGCACATTGACCCATAAATCGCAAAGTGTTTGTAATGAGACCAAAATAACACACCATCTTTTCGCTTCCATATGTGTAGAAAGACGACGAATAAGCTTTGATTGGGCTTATTTCAATTCGCTTGGTGTTTTTTGGGTGTGCACCAGAATGACCCCCAACCAAACCAAAAAGGTTTTTTCGGTTCCACCTTAATAAAAAGAAGATACTTAAGCTCTAATTGGGCTTATTTCAAATTGGTGTTTTTGGGATTAGAATGCACATTCACCCAAAAATCGCAGAGTGACGTTTGTTATCAGCCCAAATGAAGCATAGGTGTTTTGGTTCCATCTCAATAGAAAGAGGACGAATATGCTTGGATTGTTTTTTTCGTTGTTCATTTGCTCACAAATAGCAAAGCGAAGTGTAATAAGCCTAAACAAAGCCAAACAGGTAGTTTTGGGTTCCAGCTACATAGAAAGAAGAATCTTGGATTGGGCTTATTTCAATTCGCATGGTGTTTTTTGGGTGTGCACCAGAATGACCCAAAACAAAACCAAAAAGTTCTTATGGCTTCCATCTACCTAATAAGAAGATAATTAAGCTCTGATTGGGCTCATTTCAAATTGGTGTTTTTGGGGTTAGAATGCACATTCAGACAAAAATCGTAAAGTGACATGTTTATTAGCAGCCCAAATCAAGCATAGGTGTTTTGCTTCCATCTCAATAGAAAGAGGACGAATAGGCTTGGATTCTTTTTTCGTTGTTCATTCGCCCACAAATAGCAAAGCGAAGTGTAATAAGCCTAAACAAAGCCAAACAGATTGTTTTGGGTTTCAGCTACATAGAAAGAAGGATCTTGGCTTTCGCTCATTTCAAGTCGTGTTATTTGGTGTTAATACACATTGACCCATAAATCGCAAAGTGTTTGTAATGAGACCAAAATAACACACCATCTTTTCGCTTCCATATGTGTAGAAAGACGACGAATAAGCTTTGATTGGGCTTATTTCAATTCGCTTGGTGTTTTTTGGGTGTGCACCAGAATGACCCCCAACCACACCACAAAGGATTGTTCGGTTCCACCTTAATAAAAAGAAGATACTTAAGCTCTAATTGAGCTTATTTCAAATTGGTGTTTTTGGGATTAGAATGCACATTCACCCAAAAATCGCAGAGTGACGTTTGTTATCAGCCCAAATGAAGCATAGGTGTTTTGGTTCCATCTCAATAGAAAGAGGACGAATAAGCTTGGATTGTTTTTTCGTTGTTCATTTGCTCACAAATAGCAAAGCGAAGTGTAATAAGCCTAAACAAAGCCAAACAGGTAGTTTTGGGTTCCAGCTACATAGAAAGAAGAATCTTGGATTGGGCTTATTTCAATTCGCATGGTGTTTTTTGGGTGTGCACCAGAATGACCCAAAACAAAACCAAAAAGTTGTTTTGGCTTCCATCTACATAAAAAGAAGATAATTAAGCTCCGATTGGGCTCATTTCAAATTGGTGTTTTTGGGGTTAGAATGCACATTCAGACAAAAATCGTAAAGTGACATGTTTATTAGCAGCCCAAATCAAGCATAGGTGTTTTGGTTCCATCTCAATAGAAAGAGGACGAATAAGCTTGATTGCTCTTTTGGTGTTCATTCACCCACAAATAGCAAAGCGATGTGTAATAATCCTAAACAAAGTCAAACAGGTTGTTTTGGGTTCCAGCTACATAGAAAGAAGAATCTTGGCTTTCGCTTATTTCAAGTCGTGTACTTTGGTGTTAATGCACATTAACCCAGAAATCGCAAAGTGTGTGGAACGAGACCAAAGTAACACAACTCCGTCTTTCCGCTTCCATATGCGTAGAAAAACGACGAATAAGCTTTGATTGGGCTTTTCAATTCGCATGATGTTTTTTGGATGTGCACCAGAATCACCCCCAACCACAGCAAAAAGGTATTTTGGGTTCCATCTACATAAAAAGAAGATAATTAAGCTCTGATTGTGCTCATTTCAAATTCGTGTTGTCAAGGCTGCCTCAAGTCTCAGCTCACAAAAGACCAACGCCTATGTCTTCTTATATACAAAGGTGTTTATTGCAGTTCATGGTTTGCTTGACATCCTAGGCGCGCAGCCTTACGTCTCTTACGCTAGACCGCTGAAGTCCCCTCTGAGTCAGTCCCTCCCCTGCACCAATTTAAGAGACTTGCGCTGCTCCACCTCTTTCTCTCCTTCCTTTTCCACAGGGTCCTTCTACCCACTGGGGTTTCCCCCCTCCTGGATTCCTCTGACGCGGAATCAGACTGCTCTTCCCCCCTCCTGCGGGCTTTGGGACCTGGCCCCTCCTCCGGGCTCCCTGCACTTCCGCGCGCCTCTACATTTGAACTAGGCGTGCGCGCCAAACCTCTAACTTTCCTTTTGACAGTTACACTACTCCCTTCACTGCTCCCCCCCCCTCCGGGAGGGCGGCTTGCTCTGACCCCCTCCTTTCTCTGCTGCTGGAGCTGCTTCCTCTGACACACTGGAAACTCCACCCCTTCGCTGCACTTTGGTGGGGAGGCTGGTCCTGACGCCCAGCTGCCACTTTGGGATCCTCCGCTGGCACCCTGCTCCTGACACTTCCCCCTGGGGCTCCTGGCCCTGACCACCGGCGCCCCCTTCTGGGAATCCTCTGATTCGCTGGAAAGACTCATGGAATCCCTTGAGTCATTGTCATCCTCTTCCTCGCTGGCTTGGAATTCCTCCCCCTCGCTCTCCATCTCCTGCCTACCCTGTGCCTCTCTCCCTGAACCCCTGACATCCATCCCCCCCTCGAAGCCCCCCCTTCCCCCCTCCCGCTGCTCGGGCGCAGGTTCCGGGAGCTTCGTTGTAGCGGGGATAGATGCTGGATACAGTTCGTCGACGTCGATCTCCTCTGCTTCCAGTTCAGTGTAGGAGTGCTCGAAACCGGGGTCCTCCCCCAACACCTCCAAACCCTTCCCTCCCCCTGTTACTTCAGGCGAGCTGCTTGCCAAGGCCCCTTCGCCACCCCACTTCTGGTTGATCGTCCCACCAATAAGAGCGGTCCGTGTCCACCCCCGAGCCCGATCCCCTTGGAGGGCTCGATTGCGGCGTGGTCTCCTCTGCGGAGGAGAACCCCCTGAAGGTGCTGCCTGAAAGTGTGGGGGTAAAAAGCCAGTCGTCAAAATACTCCTCTGGCATGGGCCTGTGTGGGAAGAGTGCATGGAACTCGTCCTTAAGCAAAGGTTCCTCCAGAGCATAATCTGGCACCCAACTGTTGGCGCTAGCCGGGGTACCTTCCCTGGCGAGGAGGTATTCCACTCCCTCCTCCCCCCATCTCGAGTCCAGAATTTCCGTGACCTCGTTGAGTGTCGGGGTCCTCGGTGACTTCCCCCCCCCTGGTGACTTCCTACGCGGGTCTGGTGCCGTCCCTGGCTCCTGAAATCTGTGTGGGGCCTTGTAGGGTGTAAGCACCGACCTATGAAAGACCGGGTGCATTCGGGAATCCTCTGGGAGGGTCAACCGAAAAGCTACGGGATTGATCCTGCCCTCAACTTGGTATGGCCCTGTAGTCCACAATGAGTCGTTTTTGGGGCGTGTCCTTTTTCTTCACGAAAAACACAGGACTGCCCCCCACTGCCTTGGATTCTCGGATGAATCCCCGCTTCAAATTGTGATCTATGAACTCCCTGAGCTCCTGCATCTCATCTTCAGACATGGAATACAGCTTCGCAGTTGGCAGCGTCGCCCCTGGTAAGAGGTCAATTGCACAGTCGTAGGGCCTGTGGGGTGGTAATTGGTCAGCTTCCTTCTCGCAGAAGACCTCCAAAAATCCCTTGTACTTGTGGGGCACTGCCTGCACCATGCCTAGATGCAGCTGTTGCCCTTCCTCCCGGCCCTCCTCGTCCTGGCCAATCTGGATGCAATGTTGTGCACAGTAGGACGAGCCAAAGGTGAGCTGCCGCTGGTACCACGCCAAGGATGGGCTGTGTCTATCCAGCCAACTCATGCCTAACACTATGGGCGTGTCTGACAGTTGGGTGACATTGAAACTGATGACCTCGCGATGATTCCTGTCAGAGCTGCTTCCAGATCCTAGCTCACAGAGGATCACGCTAGCCAGCGATCATTAAACAAAAGTCTTTATTGAGTTACAGTTTCCATTCTCAAACTGCTGCGTGCAACTCTACGTCTCATGGTTAGACCGGCGAAGCTCCGTCTGAGTCTCCGCCCCTTGTACACCAACTTAATATCCTAGCCCTGCTCCACCTTTTCCGCCTGACTGTTCTTCTCTGGGTCCCTCTGCCCCCTGGGGTCTCTTCTTTCCGGGATTCCTCTGTCGCTGACGCTGACCCCCCTGACTCTTCTCCCTCCTTTCGGCGGGCTTTAGGACCTGGCTCCCTTTCCGGGCTGCCTACTGTGCCACCTTCCTGTGCATTTGAACTTGGCGCGCGCGCCCAACCTTCCACCTTCCGTCTGACCGTTTCTTCGCTCCCCGATGGAGGTGTGGCCACTCCTGACTCGTGCCCTCCCCCCTGTTGTGAGCTGCCAGCGCTTGATCCCTGGCTCCCTTCCTCTTCCCTGCTCTCTGGCGGTGACGCTGGTCCCGATTTCCAACTGCTCCCCTCTGAGTCCCCTCTGGCTCTATCTTCCTGGGGCGTCCCCTAGGCTCCCCCTTGCCCTGGCCACTGGTGCTCCTTTCTGTGAATCTTCTGATTCACTGGAAAGACTCGGAGATCTCGGGTCGTCGTCATCACTCATCTTTTCTTCTGCCTCCTCCCCTCGCTCTCTGTTTCCTCCCTTGCCCTTGCCTCTGCTCCTGAACCCCTGACATCCATCCCCCCCTCGAAGCCCCCTCTTCCCCCTCCCCTCCTTCCGGTGCGGGATCTGGGTGCTGCCGTGTCAGGGGGACGAATGTCGGATACAGTTCGCTTCCCGTGGCGGGCCGCCATCTGAAGTCTTCCGGTTCTTCCTCCCTGCTCTCGTTGACGACGGTCACCTCCGCTTCCATCTCTGTGCCGCCGTGCTCGAAACCCGGGTCGTCCCGAAGCGTCCATGTCCGTCTCTCCCTCGTTACCTTCTGGAGACGTTGCTCGTCCTGGACCCTCCAGCCACCTTCTGCGGAACTGCTCCTCTGGTCGATCATCCCACCAATACGAGGGTTCTGAAGCAGATCCCGAGGGTGACCCCTCCGGGGAACGGGCGTCTCGTGTCGGTTCCTCGTCCGAGTCGAACCCCGGAACGTGCTGGCTGAAGCGTGGGCGTGAAAAGCCAGTCGTCGAAAAAGTCTGCTGGCATTGGCCTATGTGGGAAGAGGGCATGAAACTCTTCTTTGAGCAGAGGTTCGTCTAAAGCGTAGCCCGGCACCCAGCTGTTGGCACTGGCCGGGGTGCCCTCCTTGGCGAGAAGGTATTCTACCCCCTCTTCCCCCATCTGGAGTCCAAAATCTCCGTGGCTTCGTTGATGCGCTCCTCCCGTGCCACTCCCCCCTGCCCGGTTCTCTCTCGGAGCGGACCCGGTGCCGTTCCTGGTTCCTGAAACCTGTGAGGTGCCTTGTATGGAGTGAGCACCGATCTGTGGAACACCGGATGCATCCTGGAACCCTCCGGAAGAGCCAGCCTGAAAGCCACCGGGTTGACCTGTTCTTCGACTTGGTAGGGCCCCAGTTGTTTATGCCCTAGTTTCTTCTTCGCCAACGACCTGGCCGGCACTGCGTGGGCTGCTAACCAGACCCAGTCTCCCACATGGATCTCTTCGCCAACCCTTCTGTGTTTGTCCGCTTGTACCTTGTATGCGTGTTTAGCCAGCTCCAGGTGCCGCCGCAGCTGATCGTGGACCTCCTGCAACTCCGCCGCGAATGCATCTGCTGTCTGCGGCTCCCCCTCCCCCATTCTTTCCAGTCCCGGGAAGGTTCTGGGGTGCCTCCCGTTGTTGGCGAAGAACGGCGTGACCCCCGTGGACACGTGCTTCGTGTTGTTGTAGGCGAACTCGGCGAGAGGCAGGTAATCCACCCACGTCGCAGGCTGTTGATTCGCATAACATCTCAGGTACTGCTGCATGATGGCATTGACCCGCTCCGCTTGCCCATTGGTCTGCGGGTGTCTAGCCGACGCCAGGTTGATCTTGACGTTCAGGAAGCCCATCAGCCTCTGCCAGAAGTTCGAGATGAACTGTCGCCCTCGGTCGGACAGAATAGACCGCGGCAGACCGTGAACCTTGAACACGTGGTCTATGAACAGTTTGGCGGTTTGTTCCGCCGTGGCCACCTTCGCACACGGAATGAAATGTGCCATCTTGGAGAACAAGTCCACCACCACCAGCACAGCCGTCTTGCCCCTCGAGCTGGGCAGATCCGTGACAAAGTCCAGGGCCACTCTCTCCCATGGTTCGAACGGAGTTTGCAGCGGTTCCAGCAATCCGGCCGGCGGTCTGTGCACTGGTTTGGCCCTCTGGCAGGTGTCACACCTCGCCACGTAGTCCGCGACTTCCCCTCTCATTCCTGGCCACCAGAAGTCTCTGGCTACTAATTCCACCGTCTTCTCCTTGCCAAAGTGCCCGGCAGTGGGCGCGTCGTGCAGCTGCTGCAGTACCTTGGCGCGAAGTTCGTCTCCCGGCACGTAGATGGCCCCTTTACGGATGAGCAAACCATCTCGCAGCTGGAACTCGTCGGTCGCTGCCGTGCCCCTGTGCGCCTCTGCCATCTTTGCTTGCGCGAAGGAGTCATCCTGCAACGCTCGTCGCACCGCCTCCAGGTCAACTGTTGCCGCCGTGCACGCCCACACTGTCGGTGCGAAGATGTGCATGGCGGCCGCTGGCGTTGCCTCCTCCAGATACTGCGGCTTACGGGAGAGAGCATCCGCCATGATGTTGGTGTCCCCGGGACATACTCTATTCGGAAGTCGAAATTCGCAAAGAACTCAGCCCAACGTATCTGCCTCTGGTTCAGGAACTGTGCCGTGCGCCAGTGCTCTAGATTCTTGTGGTCCGTGCAGACCTGCACCGTGTGCTTGGCGCCGATCAGGAAGTGCCTCCACGCTTTGAACGCTGCATGAATGGCCAGCAACTCCCTGTCCCAGATGGTGTAGTTCTGTTCGGACTTGCTGAGCTTCCTTGAGTAAAACGCTCCCGGCCTCCAAACCCCCTGCGGGTCCTTCTGCAGCAGGACTGCTCCCACGGCTCTGTCCGAGCGTCTGTCTCCACCCTCATCGGCTTGCTGGGGTTGACATGAAGCAGTTGCCCTTCCGACGCGAAGAGGCGGCTTGAGTGCCTGAAAGGACTGCTCCGCCTGCTCTGTCCAGATGAACTTCTTTTTCTTGGAGCTGAGCGTGTCCGTGATGGCCGCTGTCTGCATGGCAAAGCCTTTGATAAACTTGCGATAGAAGTTCGCAAAGCCGACAAACCGTTGGACCTCCTTCCGGTTGCGTGGGCTTTTCCAATCCAACACTGCTCGGACCTTGGCGCTGTCCATGGCGAGCCCTTTATCAGACAACTTGTAGCCCAGGAAATCCACCTCCGTCACGTCGAATTGGCACTTCTCCAGCTTGGCGTAAAGCCTATGTTGCTGTAGCCTGCTCAGCACTTCCTTGACGTGTCTGTCATGCTCCTGCTGCGATTCCGAAAAGATCAGGATGTCATCCAAGAAACAGACGCACGTCTTGTAGAGAGCCCCGCCAACACGTGATGCATGAAAGCTTGAAAAACGTGGGAACCATTTTGCAATCCAAAAGGCATAACTCTATATTCGTAGGTGCCCAGGGGCGTGAACATGGCTGTCTTCCACTCATCTCCTTCCCGCATGCGAATGAGGTTGTACGCCCCTCGCAGGTCCAACTTAGTGAACACGCTGCCCTTCCGTACCTTTGCGAGGAGGTCGTCGATTCGGGGCATGGGGAAGTCCGATGGCTTGGTCACGCTGTTCAAAATGCGATAGTCCACTACAAGTCTTTTCTGGGGCGTGTCCCGCTTCTTAACAAAGAATACCGGACTGCCCCCGCTGCCTTGGACTCTCGGATGAAACCGCGCTCCAAATTATGATCTATGAACTCTTTGAGTTCCTGCAGTTCGTCCTCAGACATGGAATACAGCTTCCCTTTGGGCAGCGCCGCCCCCGGCAGCAGGTCAATTTTGCAGTCATATGGTCTGTGGGGGGGTAGCCTGTCTGCCTCCTTCTCGCAGAAAACCTCCAAAAATTCTGCGTACTTGTGGGGAACCGCTTGCAGCGTGCCTAGCTGCAGCTGTGACTCCTCTTCCTCTCCTTCCTGCCGGGGCACGATGCAGTGTTCAGCGCAAAGGAAGAGCCGAAGGTCAGCTGCCTCTGGTACCAAGCCAGCGTCGGGCTGTGCTTGTCCAGCCAACTCATGCCCAATACAATGGGCGTGTCCGATAGTTGAGTGACATTGAAGCTGATGATTTCCCTGTGATTCCCAAGCCGCATCACCATTGGTGGCGTCTGCTTCACCACTTGCCCCCCTAGCAGCTCCCTGCCATCCACCGTGACAACCTGCAGGGGCAGCGTGGCAGGCAGCAACTGTATAGCGTGCCGGTCGACAAAGTCCTGCCCTATAAAGTCCGCATTGCTTCCGGAGTCAATGGTGATTGGCACGTCCATGGTGATTCCATTGGGCAGCTGGAGCGACGCGGTGAGCCTCACTACTGGTTTGGGCGGGAGGGGGTCCATGGGCTGTAAAATCTCTGGGGACTGCTTCACTGACACGTCTGGCTGGGCCCCAGTGCCTCTTCCTCCAACCAGACTCCGTCGTTTCCCTGCTGTGGTTCTCCTTGCTGCGTTGCTGCAGTTACCATTGCTGAAGCTGCAGTGTGCTTGTGGAGCCTCTGGGGACACTCTTTCGCCATATGCTGTGGAGCATCGCAGATGTAACACTTCCTGTTCCCTCTAGGAGGCTTCGCTTTCACTGCTGCCGGTGCTAGGGCTCTGGCTGCTGACTGAGCCCTTGCACCTCCAACCTCCATAGGTTCCGCTCCTCCTCCTGGCGGAGGCGTGGATTGCGCACGCGCTGCTTCTCTGGGAAGGAAGGAGGAGCCCCTGGCTGGTTCGCGCCCTCCACGCCCTTCGTCCCTGCTCCACGGACGTTCTTCCAGCCGCACCCCCACCGCCAGCGCCCTCTGAACGATCTCCTGCGTGGTCCGGGGTCTCTCCCCCCTCGCAATTTCATCTTTAACCGAGCCGTGCAATCCCTCCCAAAACAGGTCTCTTACAGGAGCCGAATCTCTGTCCCATTCCAGAGCACTGACCAAAGCGAAAAGCGGGCATGGTACTGCCTTACGCTGGCCCTCCCTTGCTTCAGTCCATGTATCTGCTGCCGAGCAAGATCCACGTCAATGCTTGATAAAAGCACCCATCCATCGCTTAAATAAAGGCATCCGCATTTAGGAGCGCCGGATCCATATCTCTCCACAAATTGCGCAGCCATGCTTTAGCATCTCCATGCAAATGGGACATGATGAATCCCACCTTCTCTTGCTCATCTCTAAAGTCTTTGTCCAGCAGTTGCAGTGCACACATTACATCTGCTCTAAAGTTGGGGTACTGTTGCAAATTCCCATCGAAGTGAGAGACCAGACCGCCTGTTCGTCTCCCCAACCCAATCCCCTCCGGTTTGGGTGTCAGTTGCCCTTGCTTCGTAAGCACTTCCAACCTGACCTGGAGATCCCTGTAGGCGGCAGCTGCGTCCTCCTCTCTCTTCCTGGATGCAAGAGCCTCGGCATTCAGTCGTGACACTGCTTCTCTGAGTTCCGCTATCTGCTGTTCGGCCGTCATATTGTCTGCCTTTCGTGAGCTCGCTAGTAGGCACCCGCTTTCTCTCCTCTCCGCGAGGCTGTAGATGCCCACAATTTTATGGAGACGGAGCTTACTGTCAGAGCTGCTTCCAGATCCTAGCTCACAGAGGATCACGCTAGCCAGCGATCATTAAACAAAAGTCTTTATTGAGTTACAGTTTCCATTCTCAAACTGCTGCGTGCAACTCTACGTCTCATGGTTAGACCGGCGAAGCTCCGTCTGAGTCTCCGCCCCTTGTACACCAACTTAATATCCTAGCCCTGCTCCACCTTTTCCGCCTGACTGTTCTTCTCTGGGTCCCTCTGCCCCCTGGGGTCTCTTCTTTCCGGGATTCCTCTGACGCTGACGCTGACCCCCCTGACTCTTCTCCCTCCTTTCGGCGGGCTTTAGGACCTGGCTCCCTTTCCGGGCTGCCTACTGTGCCACCTTCCTGTGCATTTGAACTTGGCGCGCGCGCCCAACCTTCCACCTTCCGTCTGACCGTTTCTTCGCTCCCCGATGGAGGTGTGGCCACTCCTGACTCGTGCCCTCCCCCCTGTTGTGAGCTGCCAGCGCTTGATCCCTGGCTCCCTTCCTCTTCCCTGCTCTCTGGCGGTGACGCTGGTCCCGATTTCCAACTGCTCCCCTCTGAGTCCCCTCTGGCTCTATCTTCCTGGGGCGTCCCCTAGGCTCCCCCTTGCCCTGGCCACTGGTGCTCCTTTCTGTGAATCTTCTGATTCACTGGAAAGACTCGGAGATCTCGGGTCGTCGTCATCACTCATCTTTTCTTCTGCCTCCTCCCCCTCGCTCTCTGTTTCCTCCCTTGCCCTTGCCTCTGCTCCTGAACCCCTGACAATTCCCAATTTTCAGCAGCATGGGTGGCGTCTGTTGTACCACTTGCCCACCCAGCAACTTCCTGCCATCTACAGTGACCACATTCAGAGGCAGCGTGGCTGGTAGTAGCGCTATGCGATGCTGCTTGACGAACTGCACCCCCACGAAGTCTGCGTTGCTCCCTGAGTCAATCGTAATGGGGACTTCCAGGGTGAGTCCATTAGGCAGCTGGAGAGTGGCAGTGAGCTGCACCACTGGCTTAGGTGGTAAGGGGTCTGTAGGCTGCAAAGCGCTGGGGACTGCTTCATTGACTTGCCTGGCGGAGCCCCAGCGTCTCTCCCTCCAACCAGGCATTCTCGTTTCCCTGAAACTGCTCCCTTGGAAAGCTTCCCTGTTACTGTTGCTAAGGCTGCAGTGTGCTTCTGGAGCCTCTGGGGACACTCTTTAGCCATGTGCCGTGCACTGTCACAGATGTAACACTTCCTGGTCCCTCTAGGAGGCTTCGCTTTGACTGCTCCTGACGCTGAGGCTCCGGCAGCTGTCTGAGCCTTTGCACCACCCAGTTCCATCGGTTCTTCCCCCGCTGCCAGGACAGGCGAAAGGCTTGAACGTTCCAAGTCCCTGGAAGGAAAAGGAGGCACTCTAGCTGGTGGGCGGACGTGACGCCCCTCCTCCCTGTGCCAAGGGCGTTCTTCTTGGCGCACCCCTATCGTGAGTGCCCTCTGCACGACGTCTGCTAGGGTTTGAGGTCTGTCTCCCCTAGCCAGCTCATCTTTCACTGAGCCATGTAGCCCTTCCCAAAATAAGTCCCTCACTGCCAGGGAGTCCTTTTCCCAGCCCAGCACATTCAGCAATGCAAAAAAGCGAGAATGGTACTGACGCACTGTAGCCTTGCCCTGCCGCAATCCATGCATCTCCTGGCGTGCCACATCAACGTCAACAGTAGATTGGAAGCAAGCGTCCATGGCTTTGAGAAATTCCTCAGAGTCCCTGCGTGCAAGACCATCTTCGCGCCATAAATTGCGTAACCAGTTCCTTGCTTCCCCATGCAGATGAGACACAATGAACCCCACTTTTTCCTCCTCATCTTTGAAGTCCTTTCGAAGTAAATGCAGTGCATATACGACGTCTGCTCTGAAATTGGGATAATGCTTCAGGTTCCCATCGAAGTGGGCTACTAAATTGCCCCCCCTCCGTCCCAGTCCGATTCCCTCTGATCTGGACCCCGGGAACCCCTCTCTGCACGCTCGATCCCACCTGGCTTGCAGATCCTGGCATCGCGCTTCTGCGTCGGCAACTGTCTTCTGAGAAACCACGACGGCAGTGGAGAGCTCGGTGACTGCTGTGCAGGAACGCTATCTGCTCCTCAGTAGTCATTGCTGCCAAACTTCGTGAGCTGTGCAAAAAAAATTTTGCGGTTTTTTTGTTTTGAGAGGGGACTTACTGTCAAGGCTGCCTCAAGTCTTAGCTCACAAAAGACCAACGCCTACGTCTTCTTGTATACAAAGGTGTTTATTGCAGTTCATGGTTTGCTTGACATCCTAGGCGCGCAGCCTTACGTCTCTTACGCTAGACCGCCGAAGTCCCCTCTGAGTCAGTCCCTCCTCTGCACCAATTTAAGAGACTTGCGCTGCTCCACCTCTTTCTCTCCTTCCTTTTCCGCAGGGTCCTTCTACCCACTGGGGTTTCCCCCCTCCTGGATTCCTCTGACGCGGAATCAGACTGCTCTTCCCCCCTCCTGCGGGCTTTGGGACCTGGCCCCTCCTCCGGGCTCCCTGCACTTCCGCGCGCCTCTACATTTGAACTAGGCGCGCGCGCCAAACCTCTAACTTTCCTTTTGACAGTTACACTACTCCCTTCACTGCTCCCCTCCCCTTCCGGGAGGGCGGCTTGCTCTGACCCCCCTCCTTTCTCTGCTGCTGGAGCTGCTTTCTCTGACACACTGGAAACTCCACCCCCTTCGCTGCACTTTGGTGGGGAGGTTGGTCCTGACGCCCAGCTGCCACTTTGGGATCCTCCGCTGGCACCCTGCTCCTGACACTTCCCCCCTGGGGCTCCTGGCCCTGACCACCGGCGCCCCTTCTGGGAATCCTCTGATTCGCTGGAAAGACTCATGGAATCCCTTGAGTCATTGTCATCCTCTTCCTCGCTGGCTTGGAATTCCTCCCCCTCGCTCTCCGTCTCCTGCCTACCCTGTGCCTCTCTCCCTGAACCCCTGACAACAGCAAAAAGGTATTTTGGGTTCCATCTACATAAAAAGAAGATAATTAAGCTCTGATTGGGCTCATTTCAAATTGGTGTTTTTGGGGTTAGAATCCACATTCACCCAAAAATCATAGAGTGACATGTTTATTAGCAGCCCAAATCAAGCATAGGTGTTTTGGTTCCATCTCAATAGAAAGAGGACTAACAATCTTGATTGTTTTTTCGTTGTTCATTCGCCCACAAATAGCAAAGCGAAGTGTAATAAGCCTAAACAAAGCCAAACAGGTTGTTTTGGGTTCCAGCTACATAGAAAGAAGGATCTTGGCTTTCGCTCATTTCAAGTCGTGTTATTTGGTGTTAATGCACATTGACCCAGAAATCGCAAAGTGTGTGTAATGAGACCAAAATAACACACCATCTTTTCGCTTCCATATGCGTAGAAAGACGACGAATAAGCTTTGATTGGGCTTATTTCAATTCGCTTGGTGTTTTTTGGGTGTGCACCAGAATGACCCCCAACCAAACCAAAAAGTTGTTTCGTTTCCACCTTAATAAAAAGAAGATACTTAAGCTCTTATTGGGCTTATTTCAAATTGGTGTTTTTGGGATTAGAATGCACATTCAGACAAAAATCGTAAAGTGACATGTTTATTAGCAGCCCAAATCAAGCATAGGTGTTTTGCTTCCATCTCAATAGAAAGAGGACGAATAAGGTTGGATTGTTTTTTCGTTGTTCATTTGCTCACAAATAGCAAAGTGATGTGTAATAAGCCTAAACAAAGCCAAACAGGTTGTTTTGGGTTCCAGCTACATAGAAAGAAGAATCTTGGATTGGGCTTATTTCAATTCGCATGGTGTTTTTTGGGTGTGCACCAGAATGACCCAAAACAAAACCAAAAAGTTCTTTTGGCTTCCATCTACATAATAAGAAGATAATTAAGGTCTGATTGGGCTCATTTCAAATTGGTGTTTTTGGGGTTAGAATGCACATTCAGACAAAAATCGTAAAGTGACATGTTTATTAGCAGCCCAAATCAAGCATAGGTGTTTTGCTTCCATCTCAATAGAAAGAGGACGAATAGGCTTGGATTGTTTTTTCGTTGTTCATTCGCCCACAAATAGCAAAGCGAAGTGTAATAAGCCTAAACAAAACCAAACAGGTTGTTTTGGGTTTCAGCTACATAGAAAGAAGGATCTTGGCTTTCGCTCATTTCAAGTCGTGTTATTTGGTGTTAATGCACATTGACCCAGAAATCGCAAAGTGTTTGTAATGAGACCAAAATAACACACCATCTTTTCGCTTCCATATGCGTAGAAAGACGACGAATAAGCTTTGATTGGGCTTATTTCAATTCGCTTGATGTTTTTTGGGTGTGCACCAGAATGACCCCCAACCAAACCAAAAAGGTTTTTTCGGTTCCACCTTAATAAAAAGAAGATACTTAAGCTCTGATTGGGCTTATTTCAAATTGGTGTTTTTGGGATTAGAATGCACATTCACCCAAAAATCGCAGAGTGACGTTTGTTATCAGCCCAAATGAAGCATAGGTGTTTTGGTTCCATCTCAATAGAAAGAGGACGAATAAGCTTGGATTGTTTTTCCGTTGTTCATTTGCTCACAAATAGCAAAGCGAAGTGTAATAAGCCTAAACAAAGCCAAACAGGTTGTTTTGGGTTCCAGCTACATAGAAAGAAGAATCTTGGATTGGGCTTATTTCAATTCGCATGGTGTTTTTTGGGTGTGCACCAGAATGACCCAAAACAAAACCAAAAAGTTCTTTTGGCTTCCATCTACATAATAAGAAGATGAATAAGCTCTGATTGGGCTTATTTCAATTTGGTGTTTTTGGGGTTAGAATGCACATTCAGACAAAAATCGTAAAGTGACATGTTTATTAGCAGCCCAAATCAAGCATAGGTGTTTTGCTTCCATCTCAATAGAAAGAGGACGAATAGGCTTGGATTGTTTTTTCGTTGTTCATTCGCCCACAAATAGCAAAGCGAAGTGTAATAAGCCTAAACAAAGCCAAACAGGTTGTTTTGGGTTCCAACTACATAGAAAGAAGGATCTTGGCTTTCGCTTATTTCAAGTCGTGTTATTTGGTGTTAATGCACATTGACCCAGAAATCGCAAAGTGTGTGTAATGAGACCAAAATAACACACCATCTTTTCGCTTCCATATGCGTAGAAAGACGACGAATAAGCTTTGATTGGACTTATTTCAATTCGCATGGTGTTTTTTGGGTGTGCACCAGAATGACCCCAAACAAAACCAAAAAGTTGTTTTGGCTTCCATCTACATAAAAAGAAGATGATTAAGCTCTGATTGGGCTCATTTCAAATTGGTGTTTTTGGGGTTAGAATGCACATTCACCCAAAAATCGTAGAGTGACATGTTTATTAGCAGCCCAAATCAAGCATAGGTGTTTTGCTTCGATCTCAATAGAATGAGGACGAATAGGCTTGGATTGTTTTTTCGTTGTTCATTCGCCCACAAATAGCAAAGCGAAGTGTAATAAGCCTAAACAAAGCCAAACAGGTTGTTTTGGGTTCCAGCTACATAGAAAGAAGGATCTTGGCTTTCGCTCATTTCAAGTCGTGCTATTTGGTGTTAATGCACATTTACCCAGAAATCGCAAAGTGTTTGTAATGAGACCAAAATAACACACCATCTTTTCGCTTCCATATGCGTAGAAAGACGACGAATAAGCTTTGTTTGGGCTTATTTCAATTCGCTGGGTTTTTTTGGGGTGTGTCCCAGAATCACCCCAACCAAAGCAAAAGGTGGTTTCGGTTCCATCTACATAAAAGGAAGATAATTAAGCTCTGATTGGGCTTATTTCAAATTGGTGTTTTTGGGATTAGAATGCACATTCACCCAAAAATCGCAGAGTGACGTTTGTTATCAGCCCAAATGAAGCATAGGTGTTTTGGTTCCCTCTCAATAGAAAGAGGACGAATAAGCTTGGATTGTTTTTTCGTTGTTCATTTGCTCACAAATAGCAAAGCGATGTGTAATAAGCCTAAACAAAGCCAAACAGGTTGTTTTGGGTTCCAGCTACATAGAAAGAAGAATCTTGGATTGGGCTTATTTCAATTCGCATGGTGTTTTTTGGGTGTGCACCAGAATGACCCAAAACAAAACCAAAAAGTTCTTTTGGCTTCCATCTACATAATAAGAAGATGAATAAGCTCTGATTGGGCTTATTTCAATTTGGTGTTTTTGGGGTTAGAATGCAAATTCAGACAAAAATCGTAAAGTGACATGTTTATTAGCAGCCCAAATCAAGCATAGGTGTTTTGCTTCCATCTCATTAGAAAGAGGACGAATAGGCTTGGATTGTTTTTTCGTTGTTCATTCGCCCACAAATAGCAAAGCGAAGTGTAATAAGCCTAAACAAAGCCAAACAGGTTGTTTTGGGTTCCAACTACATAGAAAGAAGGATCTTGGCTTTCGCTTATTTCAAGTCGTGTTATTTGGTGTTAATGCACATTGACCCAGAAATCGCAAAGTGTGTGTAATGAGACCAAAATAACACAGCATCTTTTCGCTTCCATATGCGTAGAAAGACGACGAATAAGCTTTGATTGGACTTATTTCAATTCGCATGGTGTTTTTTGGGTGTGCACCAGAATGACCCCCAACCAAACCAAAAAGTTGTTTTGGCTTCCAGCTACATAAAAAGAAGATAATTAAGCTCTGATTGGGCTCATTTCAAATTGGTGTTTTTGGGGTTAGAATGCACATTCAGACAAAAATCGTAAAGTGACATGTTTATTAGCAGCCCAAATCAAGCATAGGTGTTTTGCTTCCATCTCAATCGAATGAGGACGAATAGGCTTGGATTGTTTTTTCGTTGTTCATTCGCCCACAAATAGCAAAGCGAAGTGTAATAAGCCTAAACAAAGCCAAACAGGTTGTTTTGGGTTCCAGCTACATAGAAAGAAGGATCTTGGCTTTCGCTCATTTCAAGTCGTGCTATTTGGTGTTAATGCACATTTACCCAGAAATCGCAAAGTGTTTGTAATGAGACCAAAATAACACACCATCTTTTCGCTTCCATATGCGTAGAAAGACGACGAATAAGCTTTGTTTGGGCTTATTTCAATTCGCTTGGTGTTTTTTGGTTGTGCACCAGAATCACCCCCAACGAAAGCAAAAAGGTGGTTTCGGTTCCATCTACATAAAAGGAAGATAATTAAGCTCTGATTGGGCTTATTTCAAATTGGTGTTTTTGGGATTAGAATGCACATTCACCCAAAAATCGCAGAGTGACGTTTGTTATCAGCCCAAATGAAGCATAGGTGTTTTGGTTCCCTCTCAATAGAAAGAGGACGAATAAGTTTGGATTGTTTTTTCGTTGTTCATTTGCTCACAAATAGCAAAGCGATGTGTAATAAGCCTAAACAAAGCCAAACAGGTTGTTTTGGGTTCCAGCTACATAGAAAGAAGAATCTTGGCTTTCGCTCATTTCAAGTCGTGTTCTTTGGTGTTAATGCACCATAACCCAGAAATCGCAAAGTGTTTGTAATGAGACCAAAATAACACAACAGCATCTTTTCGCTTCCATATGCGTAGAAAGACGACGAATAAGCTTTGATTGGGCTTATTTCAATTCGCATGGTGTTTTTTGGGTGTGCACCAGAATGACTCCAAACAAAACCAAAAAGTTGTTTTGGCTTCCATCTACATAAAAAAGAAGATAATTAAGCTCTGATTGGGCTTATTTCAAATTGGTGTTGTCAGGGGTT